TTCTTTTCATTTGAACCCATTGTAGGGTTATTAATTGGCCTAGGTTCAATATTCTTATGTCTCTTGGAGAAGAGAGGCCTTATGAGAATGAGAAAGATGAGGGAGCAGCTGGACAGTGGAGCAGTCAGAAGAACCATACTATTTATTGATTAAGTCACCATTTTATATGGGCACAGTTCATGGTGCTCCTAAAAAATTAAAATAACAACATCAAAGATTGCTGGCCATAGATCACCATAACAGATATAACAATGAAATAGTTCAAAATATTGCAAGAATTACCAAAATGTGACACATAGATAAGAAGTGAGCTCATACTTTTGGGAAAATGGTACTAATGGACTTGCCTTCAATTTGTAAAAAAACATGTTATCTACAAAGCACAATAAAGTGAAGCACAATAAAACAAAGTATTATTGTGTAAGTATTTAGTTTGTGGCTACATTGCCAAGAAAGCAAAGGTTTGGGAAATAAATAGTTATGAAGACTACTGATATCTGTAGATTACTTTGAAATGCATTAAAAATAAGATAGATGTATATAGACATGTTTTTGATAAAGTAAATATTGAAAAAAGTTAACTGTAGAAGGTAGACAGTAGATATATAGATAGTCAATGAATAATTCCTCAACTTTTCTGTAGTTTTAAAATTGTTCATAATGTTGAATGAAAATAAACTATAAATTATTTTCCTAGAATTGTCACTATATTTAACTGCATTAGTTTTCTACTGCTTTTATTAAAAAGTTACTGAAAACTTGGGAGCTTAAAACAAGACAAATTTCTTTTCTTATGGTTTGGAAGTTAGAAGGTCAAAACAGGCTTCCCTAGGCTAAGAATAAGTTGTCAGCAGAGCTGTGTTTCTTTCCAGAGGCTCTTGGGTGGAAATCTATTTCCTTGTCTTTATCAGCTTCTGGAAGCCCCTGGAATTCCCTACCTTGTGGCCCCTTCCTCCCAGAAATGTTGTATCTTTCTGATCATTCTTCTATAGTCATATCTCCTTCTGCTTAGATGCAGAAAAACTGACCCAATTTTAAGGATATATGTGATTAAACTGGGTCCAGATAATCTAGAATAATTCCTATTATATCAAACTTCTTAATTTAATGACATCTACAAATTCCTTTTGCCATATAAGGTAACATATTCACAGGTTCTGGGGATTAGGACATGGATATCTTTGCAGGAAGTCATTATTCTGGCTACTACATGCATATTTGCTGAAACTAATTACTGCTTTTCATGATTTCAGAAGATAAAGAGAAGGATACCTAGGAAACTATTATATCAAGAAAGGCAAAATTGGCAATTCTTTTGAGAAGTAATAGTTTTGAGTTCTGTTGAAGTGAGGGAAGTGATAAAAAATTTTTCCCAGTAGAATGTACAGAATAAGAGAAAGTGACAAGGAAAGATTCCAAGGAATACCAACATTTAAACAGTAGGTAAAAAAAGGAGAATTCATGAAAAAGACTGAAAATATAGCAGCCAGAAAGAAAAGGGAAAGAAAAATTATAAGATTTTTCATAGAAGTAATAGAGAAGAAAAGGACATTTTTGTTTGCTGCTTTGATTTTTCTCAAGAAAAAATTGAGTGATCATGAAAAAAGTAAGTGGTCATAATTGTGAAGCTATAGAGAGGTCTGAAAACTTTAATATATCTGTCAGTTAAGAGGCTATTGTGAACATTAGAGATAAAAATTTTTCTTGAGTGAAGATAAAAGACATATTGCCTTGAGTTACCATTATCAAGTATTTTTAAAGAATACTTGACTTGTATTACTTAATTTCAAAATAATATCACCTCTTTTATATGTTGCCTTGAGTCATCACAATTTTCAAGATTGTGGACACAAACTGTTCTTTACAACAAAGTTACAATGAGTCAATCTGCACATTTCTGTAGTTTCACAGGAATTCAAACAATCAAATCTGCCCTACTAAAAAAGATCTTCTCCCTGGTCATCCATACACGCTTAACAGTAAGAAACAGCCTACATTTTGTTTCCAGAAATACTTTATGGTAGACTTCAGTTTCAATCACTAAATGTACTTTTACCAAAGTTTTCCCCACATCTGCCTTACCTACTGCTAATTTAACATGGCAGGATGCAATTTACCACTCCCCTTTCTCTTGTATTTCTGCATATGTTACATGACCAGCAGTTGCCTTTTAATGAATGCAAAAAGACACATATGGGGAAATGCAGATAAAAACATATCTACATGCATTGCTCAGTGAGAACATTTCAATATGGATTTACACAAATACAGTAAAAATTCCTCTGTAAACAAATAAAAAGTTAAAAGTCTTGTTCACAATCTCCCTAACCCAAACCAAATCCTCCTGCAACCTACACTGATACAATCTTGAGTATCAACCCATTGGATGTTCTCTTTTGAGACTGTAGATCTTAAATAAATGAGCCAAGAATAGTGGTAGCATGTTATTTTGCAAGACTCTGCTGTGACATGATCCTGACTATGGTTCCTGCTGCCTTGTCTCAGATTGTTGCTCCTGTCTACTCTCCACCCCTGTCTCTAACTTCCAATTGATCTGCTGATTACAAGTCTACAACATCCTTTAAGAAAGTCAGTTTCTATTGTATGCAACCAAGAATGCTGATTGATACACCAGGTTTTCCATTCTGTACCCTCTTACCTTGCTCTGGAAAAATTTCGCTATACAATAGAATCTCTCTGAAAGTTGACCATTCAAAGGACTATAACAAACTGATCAATATATGAAGGTGGTAAACATGAGGAACAAGGCCTACTGTACTGATACATACATGTGGTGTATGTCCAGGCTATGAAAATTAAGTCAACTCAAGAAATGGTCAGTGGAGGAAGGTGGTGTCATATGGAGGTCCGAACGTAAATATGCTTCTATGATAATTACTCCCATATGTGTACATGTACCACAGTTTATTGATCCATTCATGGGTCAGTGGGCACTTGGGCTTCTTCCATGACCTAGCAATTATGAATTGGGCTGCAATAAACATTCTGATACAAATATCTTT